GAGTCTGTTGAGATGAAGAGGTTTGTGTAGCAAAATTTATTGGTGGCTTGCTTCTCAAAGGAGGAAAGGTTTTTTTTCTGGAGCTCTTTGAACACGGTGCATCCCTTATAATTTGCAGGATGATTACCATCACAGAGAACACATTTAACATTAGTTGATCTTTCTTTTCTTGGACACAAGAAGATAAAATGTGTTAATTTCCTATTCGCACTCATCAGGTGAAATTAGCCTGGTGATGAGAACTATTAGGCTCGAAACTGGTCCTGAGATTGTCTGAGATTAACACAACTCGAAATCTGCAGCCACATACATCAATCACGACGGAATTCGCTTTTAAACTTTTAAAACACTAACGAAAAATGTACATCAATCTATTTAGTGATAAATTGAGCATAAAATATGCTCAATTTATCACTGTAAGTGATTCAGTTTAATTTATTTCTTTCCATTAGAAATGATTCGTTTTTCACACAAAATTTCTGTATAAAACTGAATAAAAATATATCTATACATAGTAAATAATTGACAAAAACTTAACAGTAGAAAAGGGAAAAAAACTTACGTGAGCAAATCAATAGGGTGAGTTGGCACCTTCTCGAAGAATCTCCGTCCAAAGACTTTATCAAACCGCACAGCTGAAAAGGGAATTCTATTCCCCCATTCTCTTTCTGTTCCCTGCAAAAGCCCATCTATCGGTCTTGACCAGAATTTTAGCATCAAGAGATCCCCATCCCATCGCAAACATGCGATATAAAATTAATAGCTCCTGTTTATCCATATACAAGGCATCCTTAGGTAATCCAGAGCATGGGAATTTGGCAGATGGTGTTCGGTCGGCCCCGTTTGCCACCCCATGGCCCCCCCGGTTAATGATGACGTGTTGTGGCTCGGCAACCTCCGGACTATTTCACTTCTGGCGGTGGCGGAACGCTCGAAATGAAAAGGCCCAGATAAATCTTCAGCCCAAGGCAATTTCGCTGCCTTTAGGGCCGGGAAAAGATGAAAAATTATCCTTTTTCGCTGAAAATGTGAAGATAATGCCGGAAAAATATGTATTGTTAAATTTATCGTGCTTGTTGGCCACATAAAGTGCCTCTACGTTTTTGATGGGAATCAGACCAGTGACTCGCAAGAAGAACTCATCGATACATTTCCATCAAAGTTCTGTTTGAAAGCAGTGAATTTATTTATTACTAACATGATTTATAAATGTTGCTTAGTTATAAAATGGTTCTTTTAATAACCATTTAAAGTAAATTTAAAATTTAAATAATAACATTTACACCAAGTTTTTCGCATAAATTCCTTGATTGTTCGCACGATCTTACAACTTTTAAGTTTGTGGCCAAAAAATCTCATTGAAAATGCTACATTAATGCAATTGACGATCTATAAAGGGGCAATAACCAGAACTTCAACAATCTATGAAAATTTTTACTTTAAGCCTTTAAGCCTCAAATATTGTAAAAATATCTAAATTCTTCTAAGATTCAGCTGTGTGTTTTTTGGAGAAAAGCTCGGACCCGCCAATTTTTACTTGTAAATGTAATTTTGTATACCTAAGTCTAGTACTAGTCAAAAAATAAATTACGACCATGTATTTAAAAAAACTCCACAGAATTAAAGTATCTATGATTCATGATTAATTGTTTATTCTATGATTAATTGTTTACAAATTGATTGTATAATTAAAGAATTAATATAAAATTTGGTTTTGCGTACCTCAAAAACTATAACTACTCCCACATTACTTGCCCCATAAACAGGAGCGTTTCCCAGCACGCTTATAAGCAAAGAAGCAATGAATCTGTAAACAGTTCTAGAATAAAAGTGTCCCACAAACACAGATTTGCACCCAATTTGGAATAAAGAAAATCAGATTAACTTAGGAAGATTTCTATCTCCTCTGTTCACGCGCTCACGAATCAATTTGGGTATAAAAATGATAAAGGAAATATATATTTTTCTGTTGAAGTTATAAGAAAAGAAAGGATGACTTCAAAAAAATAGGTGGTCTGTATGTTTCGACAATCATTGAAGTGATTAATAATCATTAATTAATGTGCATACATAATAAGTGATGAAATAGATAAATCTATGTTGATTTAGTTAAGAAATATCATATAGAATTTGTTGGCGTTTTGAGGATTTATGCCATATACAGATTTTTCAGTTTTTGAAAGACAAATTAACCGTTTTCCAGTCTATTATTATAGTGAATTTTATTAGTAGTTTTCGATACAAGGGCGAAAAATGTCGTTTTTCGATCGACGACGGCGTTTACCGTCAGGAGTTCGAAAAACAAATTTTCGCCCTCGTATCGAACTCTATTTTTTATTCAATTGAAAGATTACACGAATAATAAAATGCATCGATTTCATATCTAAAATTTTGTGGCAATGTCATTTTTTGAAATGTCATGTTTTGAAGTTTGTAATTAAGTTTAAGTACTTTTTCAATTTGAAACACCTTAGTCGTGTGGTCTTGGGATGGTTGTTGGATGGCATGTTGCATACTCTGCATGACATTTGCGCTTCTTAAAAAGATCGTGTTTTACGTGTGACAACATCGCAAAAGTAGATAAGTAGACCATTAAAACGATTATGAGACTGAACTTGTAACAAAGGTATAATTTACAAATTGTAAGTAAACTTGAAAATAGGATCAATAGTTGTTGATAAATCTACGTAATTCCTTAAAAAAGCATTTCGGTTATTTTTAAATAAAAATACTAAAAAA